CAATAAATAGACATAAACGAGATAAGAGATTTCTTTTAACATAAAACGTTTATCTTAAATGTTTGAGAAATAAAAAAATGGCCTTCTTGTTATTTCGTTTATCCTTCACTTTGTGAAACAGCCATCCAGAAAAAATACAGTAAAACCTCCCTATAATGAATAGCAACGGGATCCACTAAAAAGTGTTCATTAAAGAAGGTGTTCATTGTGTAGAGGTTTTGCATTGACTGAACTCTTGCAGGTATACAACGTATAGTTAATACGCTCTGCTCATAGCTACTCACATCTTCTGTTAAGTAAAAATGTTCTTTAGATCGTTTGCCGCCTTTGCAAGTTTCTTTCACCATGGCGAGCTAATGATCTGGTAGTGCTTTGAAGAAGAGACCGGCTTCGTCGGCATTGTAAACGTCACTGTGATCGTATTTGTCGATTATCGATGCGAGTCGCTTTTTCCATTTGTCAACAGTTGTAGAATCTACTGGTGCTGATTCTCCGCATATGCCTCGGTGCTGTAGGGTGTGGGTGTGAGTAAATAATAAACAATCACACCCACACCCACACCCACCCACACCCACCCACACCCACCCTCACCCACACCCACCCTCACCCACACCCACACACCACACCCATTTGCAAATTCCTGAAGAGTGTGGGTACGATCATGAGAATCGATGTCTGCAATATTTCTGCATGGATATTCGCGTAGACCTATACCTAATGTGGTCGCCTGTTATACAATCATTTCATAGAAAAATATAGACATTTTTAAGAATGCTTTTGTTTTCTATTACATTATTTCGGGATGCAAGTACGGGTATTTTTTATACTTTATTGGCCCCCAAATCGGTAGCGAATATCCGCACCCTAGATCCTTAATACTTAGTAGGGAACGAATATAGTTATACCTATTCATTTCATCAATGCCCGTTCCCACACGTACACACACCCACCCAAATCTAAGACAACTATTTTCCTGTTGAGATTGAATACGAAATAATTCTTGATTATATATTTCTGAATAGTAGTTTATGTTCAATTACATCCATCACTTTCCGTACGGACGTCTTGCATCACCTTTTTCTCCTCCCTTTTTATCTGATGCTTTTCTTGATTGACCTTTTTCATGTTTTCCTTGAGTTGATGGACGAGCATTTTTTGTATGTTCGCTGCCACCACTTTTTCTTGAGCCACCACGACCTCTTTTTACCCGATATCTAAAATGCAGTACAATTTATAATAAGAAATGTAGATAGAATTGAAGATCAGAGACATCTCATGCACTTGTAGTACGAAGCATTCGTTGTTGCTAATTATATTGTCTTTCCAGATACATTCATTGTGAATTTCATTTGCATGCAAAGCATGTGAAAAGTAGTCACTACTAAATGCTCATATGTAAAGCTCTCTTATTTACAAGGACTTTTAGATGAATAAACACTTTCGAAACTACGTTCATGTGCAGATGGTGTATTCGTCGAAAGAAAGAATTAGTTTATTATATTTTATCATTCTTAGTTGGACTTATACATTTAAGTTCAACTATCCTTTTCGAACACTTGTTCATGCATACGAGCAGAGGGTAATCTTGCATGCAATAGCATTAAATTTTGCTTACTGCGTTAGGAGAGAGCTTTCATCTCCTCCAGTCACTTCTTCCATACGTTCAGGATTAACCGGTACTGATTGATCATTGAAGACGAAATCGTTCGATTCTAAAGTAGATTATTTTCAATCAGGTGTGCCGAAAAGATGAAGAAAATCAAACAATTGAATGGTAATGAGTCAAAAAATAATATCATTCATATCATGAAATTTAAAATAATCTAAGTTGGTGGTAAGGTTTTTGCTATTTGCTTTATTATTTTTCGGACTTAACGTTCTCTTGACCAACTATTTGCCGCTATTTTTAACAAAATGAAAGTTTAAAAGCGTTTTCAAGTTTCGGACTCTCCATATCAAAATATCTAGTTTGAAATAATCTATATTTAGCCTTTTCATCTTAAAATTAACCATTTGGATAGAGCCACAGGATAGTGAAGGTGAATATAGTTTTTCAACAGAAGTAAAGGCCCCTATGTCTACTTTTTAATGGTGAAAACTTAAGATCGTTGACTACTAACTTATCAGAGTTGTTCGAGATACATTAGATTTCTAGTTCGAAGTCGATAGTAGTTTACCTTTAAAGGTTTAAATTCTTTGCGTTAGTTTTCTATTGAGAAAAGAAAGATTGGTATATTCCTTCACCTTTTAGGTGAATCTATATTTGTGATATGCTGCATAAAAAGCTGAATAATAGACTGCATAATTTTGTTCTACATATAAGAACTTATTATTTTTGTCAATAAAATATTATTTTGACAGAAATATATTTATTTTTTCAAAATTTCAGCAACTAAAATGGAGTTTAAATGTATTGCGAACCAAATCCTCAATTCAAAAGTGTGCAATTCATTTCTTCATAGTAAGATGCTAATGAATAAAAAAACTCAATGAAAAGAGCTAGACTTTCAAACAATAAGACAGAAAACTAACAATGCACACTTAGTCACAGTTGTTTAATTCTAAAAAAATTTAACGATGTTGTCCATTTTATAAAAAAAAATAATAGAACGAGTTTTACATACTGTGATATTATAAGAAAAATCACTTATAGGAAGCGACTTTTTCGACACACGATAGACTTCATTATTTCAATATTTTACTATCGATTTACCTGAATGTCTGCTATTATACGCCTTTAAGCGACTTGCAGAAGACCTAACGTTTATTGAAAACTCAGAATCTGATGACACTAAAAAATGAACAGAAACAAGAAAATGAAATTAATATTTAGTCGATCGAATTGAATGTATTTCTTTTCAATGTCTTACATTGGCCGACAGCAAACTGTTGTAATAAAAAAATTGATAAAATGAATAGAATAATACTCATTGTTGATTCGTTCTTTATTAACAAAGATCTATTTCGTAAATCGACTAACTGCAAGTTTACAAAAGTAACTTGTTTTTATATGGATGTTTAGTTCCTTTCTCTTATGTAACTCTATACTGCAAACTACAGATAAAACTTCGATGGGAAGCTCCCAATAAAAAAAACACGGTAATACAATGATCGAATATCTCATGACTCAACATTGATAGCCCGAACCATGTTGCTTCGTTTTCTGTTGGAGGCAGGAAAAATGAGCTAGAAATATATTGTTACAAACTTCATAATTTTTTTTTCTCGTGCTGTTTTTTAAATCGCATTGATGAACTGATTTATTCGAAATCAAAACGAAGAGGATACCTATTTCTCCCCAAAAAGATCGATCACTATATTTTACAAATAAATGCGGTTAACAGTGCTGCATTTCTATAACTTCTGGAATATAAATTCCTTAGGTAAAGGATGTATTGCGAAAAACAGCCCTTCATTGTATTATATTTTCTCTCGCCAGCCCATTGCAGCCCTAAAGCAACCATCAGTGAGGCATATTCGCAATCCAAACAATTCGAAAAGAAAAGAACAAACTAAACACCTTATGTTTATGCAGTATTTTCATGGAATATATTGCATTCATTGCCTACACCAATCCAACGATCGTCCTGTTTACCTATCTCTTTTATTTTTCCAAACATCAGAAGAAAATCAATTGATTCAAGAACATACTAAGAATAATGTGAATAATAATTAAAAGTATAACAGACACCAAAAACATCGATCAGACGAATTGAGGATCTTTGAATGCTCTTGAAAACGTTGCACTTTAAACTTTTTTGTAAGATGTGGTTGCATTTCTGTTCAGACATCAACACCCACGTGTCAAAAGTAATTAGGAGTTCAAATATTTTGATAATTTTGAAATTTCAGAGCGCATATATTATTTACAAAGCTTGTTATAACTTTCATGTATTTTGTTTTGGAATCGAATACATGAAATATCAAATCCAGTTGATTCGATATTTGATAAATACCATATGTAGAGATGGTTGCTGATTTGCTTGGAATCTAAAAATAAAATTTGTCCGCCTTGTTTTAAAAGTGAAGATAGGAAATATATAAATCTGCAGGCGAAAATGACGAGTGAAATAATTGGCTATATATAAAAGAAAATAGCTATGAATGTCTATCTTGGATAATGAAAAAGTATCATTAATACCAAATGAAAGAAAAATCTTTTTTTATATTTACATATGTTTAGCTTAGTTTAAATGTTTGATAACGTACCTTCTCAGAATAAAAAATCTTAAAATTTTGAGTTTAGACAAATTATAATTCGTATCAAATTAAATTTAAAATTTATGTACACTGATTTCCAAAGCCATAATTTGCCGCATCTATGATGAAAGGCAAATTAATGAAGTGTTCATGTACACATACCTCTTGGGTTTGGGTGTAGGTGTAGTGAAGAGCAGATACACTCACAACCACACCCTAATATACAATCTACAGCTTGAATAGCGATATATAGATAAAAATCTTGAAACAAATTGATTTGAAAACATATTTAATTATAGATATATGAAAATCTTTTCATACTATCTATATAAACGTTAAAAATGAAGAGTCAGTCATTTATAAATATATAATAATAAATTGATAAAAATTGATTAGATTTTCTTGTTATTTATATCAGTAAATAATCAAGAACAATACAAGCTACTAAAAGAGTTACATTCTATTCAAATCTAAAGAGTTTACGATTTGATATTATACCAGATTTAGCCACGAAAAAACCCCTAAATCGAGTATATAAGATGGATTGCAGAAAAAACTAACTTTTAATCAAAAGTGCTTTACTTTTCTCAAGAGCTAAAAGTTTGAGATAGCCTAGGTAGAAGAACTTGATGTACTCTATTACCAATAGAGATATTAGAGCGATTGATTATTGCCGCATAAAATGCGGCTAATCGATATTTCGATGAAAAAACGACAAAATAGAGTTTTTGAAGGTATTTCCGAAGTTCTCAAAGGATTGACGAAAACTTTTGAATTTTTGTACCTAAAAGGAGAATACCTCAATAGTTATAGTTAGAAAAACAAGAACTCAGAAGTCTTAGACATTGAAATACAAAAGTCGCTTTTACTAAAAAACACTACCTCAAAATCGGTTAAAAATCAATAAAAATTTCAGGAAATACTAAATTCACTACTCTCTATAACATATCAAAAAATCGGCGAATTCTGAAATGTCACTCCATCGTTGATGTCTGATTTTCTCAGGCTCTAATTATTAAGAAATATTTATGGAAAATGTCCGTTAACATTTGAGGTACCGTATGGTCTCACGAAAGTAAATCATTCTATTGAATTTTATCAGCATGAAACAACTTGTCGAATCGAATTATATCTACAGTTTATGTACAAGCATCGATTAAAAAGCGTTTATGCTCTAAGTTTGATAGGAACTGTTGTCGATCATAAAGATTCGAGGATAATAAAATTATTTGACGAAAATGAACATGTTTTTAATCATATTTATAAAGTACCATGTCTTTTTTTTCATAGACGAGTGAATCCATTAAAATATAATTGACAAAATATTACCATTCTACCATGTCAACGTTATATTGCAACATTATACATTAGAAAAATAAACTCAAGCAAAAAATGATATTGTTTTAAGTCCATTAATTATATCAGTATGATCAAAATAACAGAAAATCTTAAAATTATTTTTATTGATACTTGTCTACTGTTTTCTTTTCTTCTCAATAAGAATAAAGAATCTGATAATGTGAAATAGATATTTAGATTATTCTTTGTTATTCGTGTTTATCTTCCTGATGATATGATCATCGGTAGATCTCTATAAGATTAAGTTAAACCTGTGAGTTTTAGACTTCAGTGCTTCTCTTTAATACTTTTCTGTTTTGGTAATGTAAAGGACAGGGACGCATAAGATCGTGACTTGGCCCATTCCACTTTTCAAATTGTATCCAGCAGAATCATATCTGGGATGAAAAAGCTTCAAGTAGCGGGTACTTTCCAATACATTTGAGTACTCCATACCGTACGATTTTCAATGAACATATTATGAATACATAGTAATACTGTCATAGCCGTTCAGTTTAGGTTTCTCTATATAAATTCAAGAAAAGCAACTTTAATTATGCATCATCGGATAGCTCTTTTCACAGACTACAAAACCCTATAGTTTTTCAAATTATAGAAGGCGGGTCCCTCTAAAAGTTCGAGACTACAAAGCGAAGGGTGTGGGGTGTGGGTGCGACTGTAGGTAGGTATGGTTGTGGATGTCTTCTCTCACGTTCATATCCACACCCACACCCACACCTTTCGAATAGTACCGGATGGTCGAAACGTGTCCGAAGCGTCAAAAAAGAGTATCTGATAGGACGCAGTTTTCGAGTACTCGAAATTCGATAGGCATGGAGGGCTCGAAACTGAAATAGAATGGACAAAATGTATATATTGCAAACTTTCGACCACTGGTCGAACCCATCGTTGGCTTTTAAAGGTCTACTTGGTGTAATAAGAAAGATATCGCCAAGATACAAAAAGGTCCACTATACCTGCAACACCCAATATAATATAGAGAGTGACACATAAAAGACAGCAAATAATAGAAAAACGAACGAAAAAAGTTTTCTAGAAACAGGATGAAGTTTATTTGAACAAATAATAAACTGTAAAAATCTTGTTTATAATAGAGATTTTCTCTTTCTAATATTTATTGTATTAGTAGGACAACATTCCAGGTGCAAAAGTTTTTGTCAATTGCAATAGAGTATGAGGTATCCAATGCATTTCACCATCTTTACATTCACTATACGGTGGCGCATCTGAAGCCAATTTGGCAAATGTATAGTACCATCTAAACGGGGCGAATGCAGCATGAGATAGAGTGTGCCCAACAATTGATGCATGACACGAAGCTACAATATTGTTTACAATCAATGTACCTATACAGAGAACAAGAAAAAAGTTGGGTGAGATATCGATGTTAAAGTGTTTCGTAGCAGTTAAGATATATACCTTCCATTGTGAGTGGTGAATAAAAGCCCATTTTAGCTTCAACAGTAATATTTTTTACTTTCAGTAAAACGAGATCATCACCTGATTTAACGTAGACTCGATCATTTGTGGTCACATATTTTGCATGGACATACGACTGACGATTATTCTCTGTTGACACAGCAATTAAATGATCTTTGGTTAATGATATTTTGTCACCATTCTCAATCTCCATCACATAAAATACGGCTAAAAATGAAATACCACATAGGTCTACCAACAATGCATTTGTTACTTTAAACTACAGCGTAAAGGAATCTATCAAAATATTTCGTGCACTCCATACAGAGAATTAGAGACTCGAACGTGTTGCTTGTGGTGAACAATGGTTCTCTTAACAGGCGTCTTATACGAGAAAGTTGATAGTACTTATCAAATGATCCTGTTTTGAAACTCTCTTAAAAACCTTTCCCTCATTTCAAAGCAGATTTAATATAATCAGTTTTTCAACCAAGAATATGAAGGACTAAAATAATTTTAGACAAAGTACTACAAAGAAGTTCTTAATTAATGTATTTTCTGCTTGATCCTTCTTCAGTCTGACTTGGGTTACTTTGCTCGATATCGTATCCAATCATTCGAAAAGGACGATGACATTTTGTCAGTTTTTCGATTACTAGATTTGAATAAAAGTTGAACTTTTCGCGTTATGCATAAAGTTCACCCAACTAGCTCTGAGGCCAATAATCCGATAAACTGAAAACATGAATAATTGGTTTTAGTTTAGAATGCTAAATCAGTGTAGAGGAAAACTAATGGATTTGATAATACTTAGTAACCCTAACTATCACCAGAATGGATGTATGAACGGGATACTGTCCAATACCCAATCGAAAATGGACTTTTATAAAAATGTTGCAAAAAGTTATTTTTTATTAGACTTTGGTGTTGATGCAATCATTTAGAGATAGACG